CAGGAACACAGCTGGGCTGTGCTGGGGTTTGTTCTCTGCACAGGGAAAAGGGGACAGGCCACCTTTGGTCTCTGTGTAAAGCATGACAAAAGGTTCTCCCTTACCTTTTTTCCTTTGGGAAATGAGAGGCAGCTGTATGGTTGTCAGTAGGATCTTGTTGGGTTGAACTGGCAAAAAAGTATTTTCTGATAGTTAAATTTAGGCAATAACACCCAAAGTGTCTCTAGGATTGTAGTCCCAAATCCTCAGTCAGTCTGGATGATGTCAGATTTCTTTGTTTGGGGTTTGTTAATTAGTGATAAAAGATAATAGGAGTCCTGTCCTGCACAGTTAGCAGTGGTGACAGGATTCTCTCTGGCCACAGGGCAGAAGCAGGCTTGGAACCCTGCAGTGGAGAGCCAGGAGCTGCTGCAGCTTGCCAAGCTGTGCCAGGATCACACCTTGGTTGGGATGAAGCTGCTGGATAAAATCTCCTCTGTGCCCCGTGGGGAGCTGTCGTGCAGTGAGTAAATGGCAAATCCTGCCTGGTGTAACCTGTGTGTAACTAACATTGTTGGCCTGAGCTCACAGCTCAAAGGGGAGGCTCTGCTGCTGATCTCAAATTTGATATTCAATTTGTAGGGCTGAGGATGTGCACAGTGGATAGGGGTGTTGCTTGAGGGTTTATTTTCCAAACAGAATTCAGATTTTTGTGCTAAGCAAGAGGTGGGAAATGCAGCCAGGGAGTGACCTGGGCTGTCGTGGTGGTTTGTTACAGAGGGGGCATTGTGGCTTTGTTCTTACTCATCACAGTTGGAAACTGAATGTTTCAAAGCAGTGCAGAACTCGTGCCCTCCCTTTTCCAAGTGCAGGGCTGGCAGGCAGTGCAGTGATGATGTGTTACACATGTGTCAGCCTTGGCTGGAGGTCTGTGCTTGTGTGTTCTGTGTTTTCTGGAGAGAGGCAGTCATTCTCTTCCTCAGCCCTTTAACTGAAGTACCAGCACCCCTCTGCTCCTCAGTTACAGAGCTGCTGATCCTGGCCCACAGCTGCTTCAGCCTGACGTGCCACATGGAGGGGATCACACGAGTGCTGCAGGCGGCTCGGCTGCTCACCGAGGAGCACCTGGCTCCCAGGGAGGAGTACGGGCTGGTGGTGGGTGTCCCTGGGCAGGGGCAGTTCCTGGGCCGGCAGGGGCTGTTCCTGGGCTGGCAGGGGCAGTTCCTGGGCTGGCAGGGGCTGTTCCTGAGCTGTCCCAGGGCTGGCAGGGGCAGTCCTGGGCTGTCCCAGGGCTGGCAGGGGCAGTTCCTGGGGTGGCAGGGGCAGTTCTGGGCTGTCTCAGGGTTGGCAGGGGCTGTCCCTGGGCTGTTCCTGGGCTGGCAGGGGCTGTCCCTGGGCTGTTCCTGGGCTGGCAGGGGCTGTTTGGCTGTTCCAGGGCTGGCTCTGCCTAATCTGCCCAGGGCTGGCTGTGCCTGTTTCCTGGGCTGTCCCAGGGCTGGCAGGGGCTGTTCCTGGGGTGGCAGGGGCAGTTCTGGGCTGGCAGGGGCAGTTCTGGGCTGTCTCAGGGTTGGCAGGGGCTGTCCAGGGCTGTCCCAGAGCTGGAAGGGGCTGTTCCTGGGCTGGCTCTGCCTATCCTGCCAGGGCTGGCTGTGCCTGCCCTGTCCTGGCTCTGCCTGTCCTGGCTGTGCCTGTCCTGGCTGTGCCTGCCCAGTGGTGATTCAGCTGCTGGGCAAACGTGCTGCTCTGTGGCACTGGGCATCTTTAATTGCTGCCTTGAAGGATCTCCTGGAGCCTGGGATGTGCCCAGTGGAATGGTGTCAGTGCTGAAAGCTTCACTGCCTGTTTTTATGAGATAAAACGATGCCCTTTCAGCTCACTGGGGGACAGCTGCAGCTTGGGCTGGTTTAGCAGTGCCCCCGTGGCTCCAGGGGAGCATGGGCTGCCCTGGCAGGGGGCTGTGGCTGTTCCCTGGAGCTCCTGAGGTGCCCTGGTGTCCCCAGGTGCGCCTGCTGACGGGCATTGGCAGGTACAATGAGATGACCTACATCTTCGAGCTGCTGCACCAGAAGCACTACTTCGAGGTGCTCATGAGGAAGAAGCTGGACCCGGTACGTGGGGGACAAACGTGAATTGTGTGGCTCAGCAGGAATTTACACCCAGGTTACACAGGATTAAATCGTCTGGGCATTTTACTTCCTGAGTCAAATTTGCTTCCTGAATTGGGAGTCAGGGTTCATAGAAATAAATTAATGCTGGGGTTTAGAGTTATTTTAGTTGAACCATTTTTTCCTTATTAATTCAGGGCTACAATGAGAGCAGCGTTGAAACTTAAACTTGGCATTGTCAGAATTTTCACATCCTGCTTTGCTTTTATTTGCAGTTAAAGTTTCATGGGGGTTTTAAAAATCACAGATACTCGCAGCTTTGTTTTAAGTAAGCCATAAAGAAGTGTCACCCGTTGACATTTGTATGTAAAGAAGCAGACGGGTGCTGGATTTTCATGCCCAGCTGGGCGCGGGTGTGGGGCTGCCGTTGGGTTTCGGGGTGCAGCGGTCACTTTTGGGGCTGTGCTCAGGGTGCCCTCTGTGCCCAGAGCGGGACGCTGAAGGCGGCGCTGCTGGACTACACCAAGCGCTGCCGGCCCGGCGACAGCGAGAAGCACAACATGATCGCGCTGTGCTTCAGCATGTGCAGGGAGATCGGCCAGAACCACGAGGCTGCCGCCTCCACCCAGCTCAAACTCATCGACTGCCGGCCCTGGGGTGAGCGGGGAAGGACGGGGAGGGAGGTCCCGGGCTCCTGGAGCTGCCCTGGAGCTGCCGCTGCCTGCGGGGCTCCTGCCCTGAGCAGGTGTTCCAGAGGGCTCTTCCTGATGCAGCATTCCCGGGGAGCAGGTACAGACACAGCCAGGTTCCCTCAGCACACAGGATGTGACATGGCCTTGCAGGGGCTCGGAGGTGCTGGGGTTGTGTCTGTGAGTGGCACCCACGGGGTGAGCTCTGCGGCGTGGGCTGGGAGAGCAGCGACACCAGGAGCTGTGCCAAGGGATTGCTGAGTGGGACTGGCAGTGGTCAGCGCTGGGATCTGCCACAAGTGTGTGCTTGGGCTTTCTTTCCAGCCTCCAATCACTCGACCAGGCTCCAGCAAAGCTTTGGTCCATTAACTGAACAGCAGGGAGTGTGTTCCTTCCTGCTTTTTTAATACTTAAATTTTGGTTTAGTTTGTTGGTGCTTTATGAGACAACACCAGGGACAGACTAGGTACTGGGAGGGAGTTTTGTAACTTACTTTGTCACCTTTATAAATAATTGTTATTCCTTCTTTTTTCCTGCTTCAGAGGAGTCTCTTCAGGATGTTCCAAATTTAAAGAAGCTGCTGCTGAAAGCTGTGACCCTCTTCATTGATGCAGCAGAAAGTTACTCCAAGGTAAAGTGAGATGGAATGGAATGATTTGTGGAGCACATGAGGAGTGTGCTGGGCTGGGAGAACACACCGAGCTGCCCTGGGGAGGCTGCCCAGTGCAGAAGGGGTCTGTGTCTCTGCAGCCCAGTGGCACCAGTAGTGCTGGCCCCTGCTCAGGCTTTAACAAACCCTGGGTTACAGGTGTGTTCCCCACTGTCAGGACAGGGACCATGAGCTTAATGAGCAAGGCTAGAACAATTACAGTATTTAAACCCAAGCGTAATTACGGTGGAAGTATTTGTGGGAATGAAGCTTTGTGTAACGCCGATGGAATACGGTGACTGTGAAGCAGAGAGCTCTGTCACTGCTCTGTCACCTCGGAGCTCTCTCAGGGATGTTCCCTGGCTCCCCTGGAAGCTCTCAGCTGCTCTGTTCCAGGACTCGTGTGTGCGGCAGGCGCTGCGCTGCCGCCGCCAGACGCGGCTCATCACGCTCCAGCTGCACTTCCTGGGCTCGGGGCAGAGCACCAGGATCATCAACCTGGGCAGGCAGGACCTGCCAGGAGCCATCCTGGCCTTGCCCAGGTACTACCAGGTGAGCTGGGCTCCCTCGGGCTCCTCCTGTTGGGAATGATTTGGGCACTGCAGTGCCTGGGCACTCAGCTCATCCTCCTGGCCTCAGAGCCTGTGGCTGTTACCCCGACCTTGTATCCTGTGGGATGGAGGGACAGGACACAGGGAATGGCTTCCTGCGGGGGTTGGGTGGGATAATGGGAAGGAATTGTTCCTGGGAGAGTGGGCATGTCCTGGCACAGGGTGCCCAGAGCAGCTGGGGCTGCCCCTGGATCCCTGGCAGTGCCCAAGGCCAGGCTGGGCAGGGCTTGGGGCAATTTGGGATGGTGGAAATTGTCCCTCTTTAGGGGCTGAGGAAGGCTGTTCACAGTGCTTTGTTACCCTGTATTTCACAGCAGCTCTCAAGAACAGCAGCAAGGGCTGGGTCGAACAGAAGATCCCCAGTACCGAGTTGTCAGTGTGGAATGCTCTGTGCAGAGCTCTGTGTGGAATGCTCCGTGCCATCCCCCCTCCCTGTTCTGTCTCCCTGCAGGCAGCCATCGTGGCCGAGGCCTACGAGTTCCTGCCGGACTGGGCTGAGGTTCTGTTCCAGCAGGTGATCACCAGGGGGGACTTTGTGTACCTGGAGGAGTTCCGGCAGCAGCGGCCGCTGCGGCCCGGCCTGTTCGAGGAGGTGGCCAAGAGGTGAGTGAGGGTCTGCAGCTCTGCCTGCACAGGGCCCCTCAGAGGGGCAGCAGGAAAGGGTTAACTGTCCCACTTGTTATGGGGATTTGAGGTAGAATTCTGTAATAGTTTGGGTGGGAAGGGACCTTAAATCCCCATGGCAGGGTCACCTCCTGCTGTCCAGCCTGGCCTTGGGCACTGCCAGGGATCCAGGGGCAGCCCCAGCTGCTCTGGGCACCTGTGCCAGGGCCTGCCCACCCTGCCAGGGAAGGGTTTGTTGGTAGGCTTGGTTCCTGGCACAGCATGGAAGTCACTCTGATCCAGCCTTGTCCTTGAGCTGGGCAGGGAGGGAGCTCAGGGCTGGGCACAGCAAATCCTTAAAATGAATCAGAGCAAATAAACAACCAGGAGATTCAAGTGTAGCTGCTGAGTGCAACCTCTTGTTGAAACGTCATTCTTGCAGGCCCAGAGCAAGAGTCTCAGGGGCCTGGGGAGCTTCTGTGCCTCAGCTCGTGTGCAATTGTTCCAGGGTCAAACAGCACGCCCCTGCTGATGCTGCCCTGAGGAACCTGAAGCGGTTCCTCACCCACTGCGAGGACATCTACACCTACTACAGGCTGGCCTACGACCACAAGTTCTATGACGTGGTGAACTCCCTGCTGAAGGACCCTCAGACTGGCTGCTGCCTCAACGACCTCTTATCCAACTGAATTCCAGCTGAACTCCAGCCCGGAGCACAGGCTGCAGGGTCACTGCTCATTTACACAGATTTTATCAATGGCCTGCTCACAGGGCTCTGCTGCTCTCTAAAAATTACTCCAGAAAACTGCACAAGGTTGTAAGTAGTTAAATGCTGACTGTGTTAACCTAAAATTGTGTTTTGTATAATAAATGTTATTGTTTATAAATTACTCGAGTCACCAGCAAACACTGACTGGCCCAGGTGGGGGGTGAAGCAGAGACCCAGCAGCCCTTTAAATGAGGGGCATGGGGGAGGGAGCAGCCCAGGAATTGCACCCAAAGGGGCTGGAACAGGTTTGCAGAATGTCCAGGCAAAGGGGTGGAACAAGCAGAATCAGTGCACATTTCAGGTACCCAATAGAATAATGTCTTCTTTGAGTCCAGTCTGATTGCTGAAATCTTGTACAGCCTTAAACAGCCCATTCCTAATTATGCTGTCTTGGAGTAAAAGAAATAATCAAGTGCAAGTGTATTTTTACAATTATTAAATACAAATTCCTTTCCAGGCCCAGGCCATGGGCACACTCCCAGCACAGCTCAGCTCTGCATCTCTCCCTCTTCGGGTATTTCTCCTGTCAGGCCCCAAAAGAACTCTGCTCCAAGGCCAGCCTGGCGAAGTCCTCAATAGTGATTTTTATTAAATTAGTTGCTTTATAAAACATTGCAGATGTTGTAATTGTTAACATAACAATTTGCCCAACTGTAGGAACTGCTGCAGTTTGCTAAGCAAGTTTGGTTTTTAATGAAAGAAAACGGCCGAGTCGTGAGAGACCCACCACAACCCAGGAGAGCCCCAGGGAAGTTGTGTGGCTTGGTTTTTTCTTTTACACTTAACCCCTTAATTAACTGTTAAAGAACACCCAACCCAGACAGCTGCATTAGTAGAAATTTAAATGAATGGAACTAAATAAACTTCATCCTTGAGACACAAGTGGGTTTTCCTTGCTCTGCTCCACCAGGTGCTGTTCAGGTGTCAGGCTCTGGAGCAGTGGCTGTCCCAGGGGACAGGCTCCCAGGTGCAGTATTCCACACTGAAGTTAGCAGTTCCCAAAATACTGAAATCCTCAAGCTCTAACTCAAGACAAAGCGACTGGAACTCTACGTGCACACCCTGCCCTTGCTGCAAACTGCTCTTGCTCAGCCCTGGCCCTGGAGCAGGGACAGTTAAGGCCATGTCATGGAGCTGTGCTGGTTATAATCCTTCACCTTGTTCCAATTCCTTCCCGATTTAGTGGCTGTTGCTATGAATAGCAGCAGTGCCCATTATCAGAATTTTGGGTTTTTAACTGCAATTTACAGACCTTTTCCCTTCTACCCCCGCCCAGAGCTTCCGCCCGGACCCGGCACCTCCAGCCCCCAGCACACAGATACTGCAATTCTGATTGTAGCATTTGGCAGAATTTAGAGGAAGAAAGGTTGTGCTACATGTTTAAGGGATTATGGGCAACAGAAAGACAACAGAAGGGAGATAAATGTCACATGAAGTCTTCGAAGTCCTGTACGTACTCGCCGTCGTAGCCGCCGTAGTCGGCCAGGTCGTCTTTCATCGTCGCCTTCAGCCCCCCGCCAGGCACAACACCTTTTTTCTTCTTTTTGGCTTTATTCTGTGCCAAGAGGACCAGGGTGGTTATTGGACAGGCCCAGAGCTCTGTCATTACCCCAGCCAGGCTCAGCCCAGTGGCACTGAGCAGCCACAGCCCCTGCACTGAGCGTGGCCTTGCCAACCGTTTCCACCCCACGCGTTTTCTCTTCCTAGGAAAGCCGTGACAGTTCCAGGTGTCCCCAGCTCCCTGCACCACAGCCCTGCCCCCCTTTTGCCTTTCATCCTATTTCCCCTGCACTCTCAACAAGTAGCTAATAAATGCAGGGGAGCCCCAAGCAGGGGCCGTGATCCCTGAGGAACAGCCCCAGCCTTACCTTCTCTTGTTTTTGTTTTTCACTGCATAATACTGTCAGAGTGTTTGTGATCTTTTTCAAATCATCCACCTCCACTGCATCAGGGAAGAAAAAGGAAAAAAAAAAAAGATTCCTTATCTATGTTGTTCTTATAAGGCAGTTAAGTAACATCCACAGTCTCTAAAACTAGAAATAAGCATTAGTGTAACTATGGGCAATTACTTGATTTAAATCAGCAGAACACAGAGTGGGTGGTTCTGGTCCTTACAATCCCAACAAGGATTCCAGCTGGTTCCTTGGAAGCCTGAACCTTGTAGAAGGTAAAACTTGCAAATAAAGTTACTGAACACAACAGTCTTACTGAGACATTTGAACAGTAAAATATGGTCTTAGTAAAATACATAAAATGTATCAAAAGGAGCACTGGATTAACAATAAATGATTATGTTTATCAGTTAATGGTGCAAGAGGCTGGCAGTCCCTCCTGTTAGGAGCTCTGCAATCCCTGAGATGGAAGCTGCCAGCTGGGGTGATGGATGTACCCAGCTCCTCCTGGGATCAAGTTACCCCTCACTGAAGGACAACTGGGTACAGCACAGGGAGCCATCCCAGCCACTGCTCCAGCCACCAGGGCACTGGGAAAAGGAGTTTAAATTACTTCATCTCTGTATAGTTACATGCTGAATTCCAGAACAGTTAATCTGCAGTTCCAGAATTACATGAACTCGATTTTGTAATAGCTTCCCTCCAAATGAGGTACTCAAATTATCTGCCTCAGAGAATTTACTCTTATTATTATTACTTTAGAAATGGCTTCAAGAAAAACATGCAGGGTTTAGATCAGCACAAAAATTCACACCTTTCAGAGAACTGTCTCTAACCAACATGCAGAAAGAGCACTCTTGCACGAGGAGAGGATCCTTGGTGGAGTTTGTGGGAATGGAATCAGGTCAGTGCTCCATTTAGTACAAACTAACAGAGCAATCCCCTCTGAGCACCATCACAGCACGTTTCCACTGCAGCCCAGCTCTGGCAGCAGAGCTGGGGCTGTCTGCACTTACAGGAAATACAGACGTCCCGAAGCAGCGCTTCCAAAAACCCAGCGTAATGTAAGGACTTCTCGTACTGTGTGATCTTCTCCTTGAGCAGCTTCCCAAATTCCGTGAAGTCATCTTTGGAAGAGGGGTTCATGGCATCTATTCCACAAGTGCTATTTACACCTGCAGGGACAGGCAGGGCTGTTACTGAGAACATCAGCTGTGAGCCCCAGAAGGGAGCTGGCTCCCACCTCCCTGAGCTCTGCTCCCCCACAGCCAGGGCCCATCCCTGGCCTCACAGGAAGGAAGTTTGCTGCAGAACTCAGTAACTGCACAGAATCCCTGAATGGTCTGCGTTGGAAGGGTTAAAGCCCATCCAGTGCCACCTGCCAGGGCAGGGACACCTTCCACTATCCCAGGCTGCTCCAAGTCCATCCAACCTGATCTTGGGCACTTCCAGGGATACAGAGGCAGTCACAGCTGCTCTGGGCACCCTGTGCCAGGGCCTGCCCACCCTCACAAGAAACAATTCCTTCCCAATATCCCACCTAACACTGCCCTTTGTCAGTGGAAAGCCATTCCTGGACAAGCTGCACCAGGAAGCCCCTTTTCCCTCAAATAAACCATTCCTGCCTCAGCCTCCTGAGTGCAGAACTCAGCTGGTTCTTTGCAGCTGTGCACACCCCCCAAGCTCTGACAACCTCCCCTGAGCAATGGGCTGAATCATTCACCATAATTAAGGAAACTCTTCCAGTCTGAGGAATGCTGCTGTGCATCAGCATCTTTGCTACTTCTGTGTTCTCAGGGCCACAGCTCTGTGTGCTGAGCCAAACCCTGCCCATGCTTTGCAGGCTCCCAGGGGTTAATTTATTTCCTGCTGCTTTAACTCACCGAAGGTTTCCTTTGCCAACTCCAGGTCTGACTCCTCTTGTAACTTCTTTAGCCGTAGTTTGTCTGCCAACTGTTCTTCTGGTGTGAGCTCCTTCTGTTCCTCAGGTGCCTCTAACTGCAGGGAGAGCACACAGGGAGAAGGTGGCACGTCAGAGACATGGTGCCTTCTCCAGAGCCACTGCACCACCCACTGCTGCCTCGACTCAGGGCACATGGAAAACCTGGAACCCATTCCCTGCAGTCTCAATAAATTGTTCATTGCACAAGGAATGGGAAGAAACATCAAACTCCCACTCCTGCCTGTTCCATCATGTGCTGCCCACAAAGGAACTGGGGTAACACTGATCCAATCATGGTTAAACTATACAGGATTTAAAGCTCCCAGCACCAGACAGGACCATGTTCAAGACCTAAGTTTGGTTTATCAGATTAATCAAGACCTTTTCAGATCTTGCTCAACCTCCTAAAAACCAAATCAAACCCGCCCTCTGAATTTTATGTGACCCAGAAGAAATCAGGAGTTACCCTTTTTTTAAGCTCCTCTTGCTTTTTCTTCTGTAGCTTTTCTTTTTCTTTGATTTTTTCTGCTATTTTCTTTTTTTCTGAAACTTTCGGTTCTGTGAAGGGTGGAGTAACAAACACAGCTCTCAGAAGTCTGATGATTTTTTCCCCCCACACAACCACAGAAACACTGGAAGCCACCAAGCTCAGCTCCTGGGACTGAGCAGAGTTAAAGACATTTCTGTTAAACGCAGCCCCAGCCCTGCTCAGGTTTGATCCTCACACCCCAGACACGAGCAGTGTCTGTTCCCATGCTGATACAGAGCCAGGGGTTATCTGAAAGTCTCACCTTGTTTTACCTCTGTCTCCTTCACCTCCTCCTCTTCCTCCTCATCATCCCAGTTATCCTGCAAAACAGTGAAGATCCTTTTACAGATAGCTGTAACCTGTTCCAAAGCCACAACCCCACTGATCTGGTATCAGAGTGAGGGAGCCATGGGAGCTGTACCTCATGGGGTTTTGGAGCTGTCCATGCTGGCTGGGGCCAGTTCTTACCATGAAAAAGGCAGGTTTTGGTCAAACAGCCAACTTGTGTCAGTAATTGCAACAGCCAGGTCACAAACAGCCAAACACCACTGACACAAACAGGACTTTATTCTCATTTCTGGCACTTTGAGACACTGAACATCCCCGAGGGGTGGGCGCAGCACAGCCCTGCTGGAACCCCCAGCCCAGCTGAAACCACGTCAGACCAGCACAGGCTGCTCTGTCCCACAGCACCCAGCCCCTCTCCTGGGCTGGGAAAAGCCTCCCCCAGCTGCAGGGATTCTCTGGGAGCCCAGAGCAGAGGCAGTGGTGCAGAGCCCCACGCTGCACCGGGATGTGCTGATCCAAGCGAGGAGACACCGAGTCCCTCCACCAGCTCACACGGATAATTGGCACCTGCAGGGGACTCGGCTTCCCTTCCACATTCCACAGAGCTGACTTGAATGTGGAGCAGCATTATTTTAGCTCACATCTAATTAACTTTGCTACACCCACTGCTTAAATGGCTCCACTCAGCACTGAGGAGCTGCCTCAGCCCCAGCCTGGCCAGGCTGTGAGGCGGATGCAAACTGCAGAGGAAGGGCAGCCTGGCCATGAGGGATTCATCCACGGCACTGGGACATCTGGGAGACTTCACAGAGAGCACGTGGGCAAGGACTCCACGCCATGAGATGTGCCCTGACCCCATCCTGCCAGCCTTGCCTGGTTTATAAACCCAGGGAATTCCAAGTCCTGCCAGCCTTGCCTGGTTTATAACCCAGGGAATTCCAAGTCCTGCCAGCCTTGCCTGGTTTATAAACCCAGGGAGCTCTCTAGCAGGAAGAGCCAGCTGCCCCAGCGCCGTGTCCTTGCAGTGATACAGTAATTCCCAGAGAACACATTCATTCCCCAGTATTTCAACACTGTTTCTGTGTCCTTCACTGGCCCAGGGCCCCGGAACATCCTCCTGGGGCTGGGAGGAGGCAGGGACTGGGCACTGGCTCCCAGCTCCAGCTCTGGGATGGAGCAGGCACTGCCCTGTCTGGCTGTGCCAGCCCTGAGTCAATAGATGAAAATTCCCTGGCAGCAGGCCTGACTCCTGGGGAACGTGTGCTGGGGAGCACTGAGAGGAGTTTTGTTACCAAAGGTGCTAATTTTAAACCCGGGAAGTTGACGTTTCCCAAATTAACAGTTCCTGCAAGTCCATTACCAAAAAACCTTCCAAAACACCCATCTGCAGATACAAAGCACACTGCACAATGTGAGATGCCTTGGGAAAGCCGTGGCCAGAAAACACTTGGTGCTGCCACTTCAGACCACGTCATCTCCCTCACGTGGGGATTTCCCCACGTGGGCCCTCGCAGGAGCATCCAGAGCCTGAGCAGGGCCTTTGGGAGCCTGGCAGGAAGAGCAAATCAAAGGAAAACAGACCAAAACTCCTTTCTTTGCTGGATCCTCTCTAGATGCAGCCCTGGCACTAAACCCATAATCCCTTGGAAACAGTTAAGCAACTGCATCCTTACTACGTGTAAGATGTAAGATGTCTTCCCACTGCCACAGGGCAGGGATGGATGAGACATTGGGAAGGGATTGTTCCCTGGGAGGGTGGGGAGGGGCTGGGATGGAATTCCAGAGAAGCTGTGGCTGTCCCTGGATCCCTGGAAACGTCCAAGGCCAGGCTGGGATTTAAGGTCCCCTCCAACCCAAACCATTCTGGGATTGCACGTGGGGAATGTTTGTTCCTTTATTAAACAGAGGCCCCTCAGGTGTCCCGGAGAGAACCACTCTGGTCCAGTTCTCCTGCACACTCTATCCAGCAGGAAAGCTCCTCACTTTCTAAGGCAGGAGGAAAGGCAAATGTCACAGCCTGAGCTACAGGTGTCTGTAGGCAGCTGTCAGTCACAGAGCTGTCAATCAATCACACACACCTGTGTCAATCACACACACCTGTGCCACCTCCACACTCACTGCCAGAGCCTGGAGCTGCTGTGCACACACCTGGCCTTGTCCTGACACCCGGGACACTGGGCTGGGGCTGCTACTGAATTTAAGAAGGAAAGTTACACACAGAATCACAGAAATTTGGTAACTTCAGGGGTTTTAAAAGATGAACTACTTTTTCTGTACTGTTTATGGGAAGAACTCCACCTGAGCCTCAAGAAAAACTCTCGGTGCTTTTCAGAGATTTTGGTAACAGTGTCCTCAAAACCAACCCTGAGTCCTCACCCGGTGTTACAATGTCCCAGGGCGGGAGGAAACAAAAAGGTCTTTTGTAGTTTCCTTATTCCACCGAGAGAATCTGGGATGGTTTGGGTGTGCAGGGACCTCAGAGACCACCCAGCTCCACCCTGTGCCGTGGGCAGGGACACCTTCCACTAGAGCAGGCTGTCCCAGGCTGTCCAACCTGGCCTTGAATCCCATCTGGCGTGCTCCCTGTGCATTCCCTGGCACCCCTCAGCACCAGCCCTGCGAACACGGAGGTTTCTGTGGCACCACCAGCCTGCCAGGGGAGCCCAGCAGGAGCACACAGCCTCCGAGGGAGCTCTGCCTGCTGAAGCACCAGCGAAGACCATCCACACGTTTTATCCCACTGCCGGGCAGACCACGCTGAAACACGGCAAGATCCCGCCTCGTGGTGAGTGGAGAAGCAGGAAAAGACGTGGAGAAGGCGGAAAAGACGCGCTGGTAGAGCACAGAAGCTTCTGGTCAGCAGCAGAAGCACCGACACAGCACTGCCATCATTAACCCCGTTCCGACGCCTCACCAGCGCACCCCACTCACAGCCCAGGGCCCGAAGGGCTGCAGACAGCGGGGGGACAGCGCCTAAAGCCGGGGAAGCAGCGGGAGAGCAGCAGGTGGCTCCGCAGAGAGCGGAGGGGCCGCTGCAGCAGCGTCCGTCTGACCCTCCGTCCCTGCAGCTCCCAGGGCAGGACTCCGGCGGCCCGGCTTCTCCTGCCATTCCGACTGTCACCGTGACCCGCCGCGGCCCGGCGCCCCCGGGGTGTCCGGCCCGGCCCCGCGGCCTGCCGAGGCCCGAGCCCGGCCCGGGGCCG